CATTATACTGTAGACTGGAAAAGCATTTATTTTATTAAATTGACCCACTAAAGAAGAGATCTAGAGGTCCAAAGATTTCCTAAACCGCGGTATAAGTTAGACCTCGTTTAAATAACCGACCCAATCAGTTTGATAACTCTACGGAGGGAAGTGTATATTCTTTCATTCTAGAAGAAAAAAGAACGACGAAATGCAAAAAAGGGGGAAACTTTTCCTTGAATATCATTATGTTTAACATTCACACATCCTTACCTTTAACAAGAACACTAAAGTTTCCGATTCTTCTGCATGAACTCCTGTATGGAGAATATTCCCCGGTAGAAGAAGAGACATAAAGTAAAGCTAAAGTTAGTACAGCTCTCATATTAATTCCACTCTCGCAATAAAACTTTTGGACTCAGATTAATAATGGATATTACTTCAACGGACGTCAGCAGATTAGTGTAAACACAGTTGCCCCCTTAAGATGAGTGTACCCATGGGGGCTCCCCCAGGGTGTGTACACAGCCGAAGGATGCGCTACCTCTTACAAATAGATTTCATGGAGCCAAGCGTCTGTTCAGTAATGGCACACAGATAACGTCAAATACGGTAAGAACAAAAACCTGGCAGGCGAACGGCAGGCGAAGTGTGTCATAAAGTAATCGGCTCCTGCTTATGGCAACTGTTGTGAAGATTTCCAAGGCATTTTCAAGAAGCCAAGAACTCCTTCTGTCTCGGTTCTTCCAATTTTTATAACTTGTAAACAGATCCTGTTAAACTTGGTTCACATCTACATACAATCTTTGGCAGTTTTTCTTCACTTTGACTAAGGTAGTTGTCAAGGCTAAGTTTCTCCAAACAGAGAAAAATCCTCCACAGAGATAAACCCTCGACTCCACTTTCTGAACTCTCATTCCATGAAGCTTAAGTTAAGTTCAGTCTATTTTACCACACCACCACTGTATTGCACGCAACAGCAGCACAGCTTATTATGTTTATAGTATGTTCTGACCATGTCTCCGCCTCTGAGTTTTGACCTCATAACTTTCTTGACTCTTCTAACATCATCATCATCATCATCATCTTCATCGCTTTTAAGATGATGATAATGATTATTGTTGATATTCAAGGTAATATCTATCTGGAACTATCGAATTTGGAGACAGAGAGCTGGGAGGGGGGAAAGTTCTCGAAAGCACATAGAAATAATTATGATGCTCGTTTCACCGATGTCGCATGCATTAATCCCGTTCAAAAAAAGTATATATATATATATAATTTGATAAATGAAAACAAAATAAAAATATGCTGAAACCAGTTGGACTTCATATCAGCTAACTTTGTATTAATATCCCACCTTGATTACCTACCGGAGCTCAGGTGACGAGATCTTAATCTTACTTTGCGCTATTTTTATTTAAGGTTCGGTAAAACAGGTAACAAAAAACCTGCAACTTCTTTCGCAACATTGCTGTATAACGAGCTGAATAGCGATGTTGCGTGGTTTATGACTCACGAAAAAATCTTGCCACCTTACAGGTCATTGGCGGATCCAGACCTTTCAGATAAGGGGGTGGGGGGGGGGGGGGG